CTAGTCAGGATTAGAGTATTGGTTAAGCATTTCAACAATTCTAGCTGCAGAGTGTATTTCTTTTTCATTAGGATACTCATCAAACTCTCCACTAAATAGAATTTTCTTCAGTGAATCCTTTGATGAACTCAGAATGCGCATAAATGCCGTTAGATCTTCAGCTACAGAAGTTAGATGTTGAGGAAGCCTGTTGAGTTCATGACACATGTAGTATAATAGGATGACACGTGTAATAAAATATGGGTTCGTTAGTGACAAAGTTATATTTGTACCACTAATCGGACAGTAGGGGTATATATGTACGCATAGTACAACGGAGGGTATATATGTACCTTTTATTAAAGTTCGGGATTAAATCCGTCCCTTTTTCCATAGTAATAAATGAAAAGTACCGCTAAAATCAGTAATTACTTATTAAAAGGTATCCGTCCAACTAACTTTTCTAATATCCTCCTTATAAGCCAGCAAAAGACCTAAGTTTCTCAACTATGGAGTCTATGACAGAATGAGAGTTCTTGGTGCCTGTTAATGGCAGATGTTTTGGTGCTTCAGCTCTGTCAAAGTAAAATGCCCCAGGAACCAACTTCTCTTTTGGTTGTAATGCCAACCAGATAACTGTATCTGCACCTTCCTCACTACTTCTAAGTTTTCCTTCAAACCTATAAAACATAAATTTCAGATATCATGACAATTATTAAAGCAAGGATCATGTATCAAGACGATAACTTACGATTTAGAAAAATCTGGCAAACTCTTGGCTACCCCAGGCGTCTCGGCCCACCCTGGATGCATGGAGTAGAAATTAACACCTTTATCCTTGTACTTTTCAGCCCATTTTTCTGTCAGTGCAATCTGAAATGAAAGATATACATCCATTGAGTTGAAGGCAGCTTTGATGAACATGACATGGTTTCGTTCAAGTAGAGAGAGTTGTAGTTTAGATGGGGAGCAAATAAGCAAGATATATAAACAAAACTTTCCTGATATACAGTTGTTGATTGGAGGATCATTACATGTCTGTACATCCTGCTTATCGATACTACCCAAATACGAAGAAAACGACATACAAAATGTAAAGGACGGACAAATGTTTTGTAGACTCATGAGTCTATGACCAAGTAGTAAACCTTTTTACTGAGTTCTGAAACAAAATGAGTGGAAGAACTCTAAAGCTGTTCTGCTGTAAAATGTCAGAAAGGATTACTCCCTATTTTGTTGACGAATATTAACTCGCGCTGAAGGATTTAATGTCCTAGCAAGAAGGATAAAAATGCACTATGTGACTTCATACCTCAAGCACAGAATTTAAACATGAAAAAAGATACTGAAATCACATAGAAGTATCTGGAAAAAAGAACGAAGAAAACCTTCCAACCTTTGAATCTTACATTCTAGAGAAAGTTCCTAGCTTCTTTCTTGTTTTTTAAAAAAGAAGGGACTGAATAACAACACATTTCTTTATAAATAGGAGATTCTGGAGGGAGATTGTTCATGGAACTTCAACAAACTTCTTTGATGAAACTTCAAATATTTTATAGCAAAATATACTCTTAAGAGATGCAATAACCTCATGCCAATTGTAATGAACCAGTACTTTACGCCAAGAATGATATTTATATATCAATATATCAAGGAGCAAACCTTTATGTTAAAAATAGGGGAGGAATATCACTTGTTTCTGTTGGATCTATAACTCAATAAGAAACAGAAAACGACAAGCAAAATTTTGGAATAATTTTTACGCGGACTTCATAGCAAATAGCTTAATGGAGGAAACACTCAAATATAAGGCAGGTTCTTCATAGTATCATAAGATGGAAAAAGAGGGTGGAAGAGGGAAATTGACATTAAGCTCACCTTTATCATTAAAAACACTTCACTCTAAAATAACAACATAATAAGGGAGGTTTTTATAGGTGCCAATAGAGTCTTCTAGACTCGCACTTACTAAATGCATTGACACTAACACTTGGTGATTCTATAATATTCAAAATTACTTTCCAACAACAATGTTCTTACAAGTACGTTTTCCAAGACCATTATTATTGTACCTGAATTCTCTTGTTCCGAGCATACTGTACCACCCCATCAAACGTGTCACCACTAAACTGCAATATGGCTTATCAGATAATAAGTTTTATAGCAAGATCAAGGTATAAAGAAATTGAGAAATTCCTTCTACCTGTAAATCAGTAGTCAATGGAGATGTGTACATTCCACCCGAGGAAACTGTGATAACACGAGCATCAGGTGCGGCCTTCTCGAGGAGTGGCAACATCAACTCAGTCAAGGTGTAAGTTCCAAGAACATTTGTAGCAAAACTCAGCTCATATCTGTTTTTTAGATTATAAAAGGATATCATTAACCGTTGACCAGTTGTACAATGAGAGTTTTTATGAAAGCATTAAACATAAGCCTGCCTACCCTTCTGGTGTGATGACACGATTAGCTTCAAGCAGGCCAGCATTATTAACCTTTTCATATATATATGAAAAAAATTAACTGGTCAAGAAGAATCACAATCTTCTAAGAAGATCATTAGATGGTGTCCAATGAAAATGTTCACAAATGAGAAAAGGTATAATACCAGGACATGTACAGGCACATCTTTAGAACAAAACCTGGAAGTGAAGGATTTGACAT